CCCAAGATCAACCAAACGATGCCGTATCGGATAGTCGGCGGTGGTCGGGGGAAGGGTATACAACACAGTCTACACTACAAAACTCAGAGAGCTAGCTAGGGTAGCGCCGTTCGGCGTTTCTTGAACCCAACATTCAAAAAGCAGCAATCTTGGGTTTCTTGTGTAGAAGGTGAAGCTACCAATTCTGGGAGGGTTGGAAACTCAGGTGAAGAATTTTCTTTTCTGTAAATATTTCATGATTTCTTTCTTCCCTCCATAGTTTTAGTCTTTTCTTTTTCTCTTAATTTCTATGAATTCTCATGAAGTTTGTTTTGTTTATTTCATTTTCTCTTAATTTTTTTGCCTGGGAAAGTTGTGAGATTGCATTTTCTTGCTAAGTTAACGGACCGTGTGTTTTGTCAATGGAGACATTGATTTTCTCATTGTTTACTTTGTGGATATTCCATGACCCATGAGTGAAATGATTACTTGGATTAGTTGGAGGTTGAGGGGGAGTCTGACTCAAAGATAGAATTCTGGGTCGTTTGTATTTCGATACTTCATACTTGGATGATTACCATACATGCTGTTAAAGAAACTAAGTACCAGTTTTTTTTTACTGAATCAGTGACTGCCTAGACCTTAAGAGCTTTGATCATTTATTTGTGGATATTGCTTCGGGCTGAATCACTGTCCAAAAGATTGAGGTTTTAATTTTTATATTTTCAGAAGGTGCCGATATTGACGTAACTGACTGCTTTTTCCTTCTGTTATAGCGAGAATCTTGTAATGAACTTGAGTTAAAGTTTTTCTACCTGTATTTCAAAAGTTTCTTAATCTTTATGTTCCGGTTTTTGGGTACTTGAGACAGGTTTTTTTTTGTGTTCATATGCAGTAACAATTGATTATTTTATGGCAATAGGCAGTTGCATTGTGGGTTTTTGAGTGTAAAATAGCAGCACAAAGTGAGTAGCAGGGACAAAACAGTGTTACAAGGATGTCAATGGATGAGACAGAATCAGCGTTGAGGTTGGTGGAGATAGAAGGAAGAGGAAGGGCTCTTGTAGCATCTCAGCCTTTGAAGGCTGGCCAGATTGTTCTCAGGGATTCTCCCATCGTTGTCTATTCTGCTCTTCCTCTGATCAAGCACCAATTTTCTGCCTCCTACTGTGACAATTGCTTCAGAATGATCCCATTATCAACAAATGCAACTCCTTGTACTTCATGCTCCTATAATCATCTCTTCTGCAGTCCCAACTGTTTCACTGCAGCAATTGGATCCTCCCACTCGCCTTGGGTCTGCCAGGCACTCTCTCGTCTTCGTGAGTGCCCTTCTCTCATCTCACAGCCGTTGGAACTACAAGTTCAAGCACGTTTCCTTATTGCTGCCTATAATCTAGCCTTTGTCTCCCCTTCCCAGTTCCAGGTTTTGGTTTCTCTTCAAGGTCAGGGTTCTCCTTCTGATGCTCCTTCTGCCCAGTTCTTGCATTCTCTTATTTCATCTATCTGCCCTCCTCCTTCTTTATCCCTCTCTATGGAACTCACAGCTGCTCTACTGGCAAAAGATAAGCTAAATGCCTTTGGCCTAATGGGACCCTTCTCCATACAGAAGGATGGACAAAGGTCTGTCCGTGCTTATGGCATCTATCCAAAGGCTTCTTTCTTCAACCATGATTGTCTACCAAATGTGTGCAGATTTGATTATCTTGACTCTGCACCTGACCACAACACTGACATAATCGTGAGGATGATTCATGACGTTCCCCAGGGTAGAGAAATCTGCCTAAGTTATTTCCCTGTCAATCTCAACTATTCCATCAGACAGAAGAGATTGTTAGAGGATTATGGCTTCACTTGTGACTGTGATCGCTGCAAGGTTGAAGCAAATTGGTCTGACAATGAAGCTGATGCTATTGATGACAATGAAAATGAAGAGGAGCTAATGGATGAAGATGATGAGGAACAAATGGCAGCATCTGACACAGAACAAGAAGCTGCAGGAGGAGACACCGATTTTCCTCATGCTTATTTCTTCTTAAGATACATGTGTAATCAGGAAAATTGCTGGGGCACCCTTGCTCCTTTGCCTCCATCTGATTCATCACCATCTAAATTGATGGAGTGCAATGTTTGTGGAAACCTCAAGAATGATGAAAATTATTGATGCTTATGTGGGACAATACACCTTTTCCATGGAGGACTGTAAGTACACTGCCAAGCTTCTCTCTCATTCACTATTATTTTGTGAATTGTATTTGATTTCTTGATATGATATATGTGTTTCTCTTATTACTTGTTTGTGCAGATAATGGGACAGTTTTTCACTCAATCTGGTGTAAATTTCATTTGAGGTTGTATTTCTATTCCATAACTTGGTTTGAATCTCTTCTATTTGTTATTGAGGCAGATTATTAACTACTTGTTTTTGCAAATAGCTTCTTGATTCCTACTAAATATTATCTTCAGTGTTTCTAATTTCTAAGAATATTTATGTTAGTTCCATTACCCCACCATACAATCTCAAGTATCTGATGTTGTTCCTTTTATTTTTTATTTTTTATTTTTTCTTACATTAGAAATTCAAGAACAAGGATCAAAACAAGATCATGACAATGTAGGATTTGCCATGCCACTAGAGAAAATACTTTGTCAACTTTCTACACCCTTCCAATTTTTCTCACAAGCTGGGCTAGATTTCTTGGTCGTGGGAGTATAATGGCTTTTCCATAATATATATGCTTTTCGAATATTGATCCAGACAAGTTTTTCTCCTATATTTTCCTTCGGGTGACGTCGCCTTGGATTGCCTATTCAGCATGGAACAATAATCTTGTGAAAGTTTCTTGCTTGTGCTTTGATCAGATTAAACACACCCTAAGCCCCTAGTTTTTTTGGCCATCAGCCTATGCCGCTATTTGAATTAGCTGAAATCGTTTTCCCATTACTTTATCTTG